TCTGAGGAAAGTATTTGATAATTTAATTGGCGGGACACTTACCTTAATGGCTGTCATTTCTCTATTCTCGTGAGACCTGCCAAGGGTTATAGTCTCAGTCATGTGTTCGTAGGAGGATTGAACCTGGATCAGTTTTAAGCGAATCTGTAAAAAACGCTGAATTAGACAGGTAGGCAGACGGACAGAGGGAGCGAAAAACAGACGGACCACGTTGGGTCAGCTTTCACCAAAAAGGAAACTATGCTTTATGTTTTTAAACCGACAGAGATTTAAAAACTTTGTTACATGATAGACAATTCTCAAATCCAAATAATTGTGCGTTTTTTGTTATTTGATTTCAACGGGTTCTGGCAGAAAAAATGACGTCATCAAACTAACAGCAAAATTGAATTTTCACATTGTCACTAAACTACCGCATGATTTCGAAAGAGTATGTTTAGGTGAATTCAAAAAAGAAAAACATGATTTAAAAAGGCGTCAACAGCATAGAGGAAAAGGCGTCAACAGCATAGAGGAATAAATTCGTGTACGATTTGTGATTCGAACACAAAGGTTTTACGTCATCATTACTGGTATCTCTTATCTACCAATCATATCACTCCTTATAATCATACCTCATCAAGGTCGTGATACTGATTATGCCAACTTTGACTGAATCCTCTCGCTCCGACAGTTTGCAGTTCCCCCTCGATCAGTTTCTGCACGTCATCAATTTGGACTTTGTACTCGATACCATCAGCTTCCAGAAGGGATGACAGAGTAATGAAATCTTCTTCCGAAACCCCAATGTCTACTGCTTGGAAAAGATGACTAGGTTCTTTCCAAAAGTCAATCTTTAAAGTTGCGAAACGAGAAGTATTTAGAAACACATTACCTGCTGAAATTCAGATTAAGGCCGGGATAAAGGTTACTTCGAGTAATTGCATTGTGGCTATTACGAAGATATCAGTGACGCCAGCTTTTGTTGCCAGTTGAATTAACTGTTTCTATTCTTTCTACCCATATAAGCAGTTCATGGCAACACTACATTTGAGTATGAGCGCGAAATCGAGTACAAGGACAATTTTTGGATTCTAGTTTTTCAGGCTTGACATTATCACGTCACATACCCATCTCAGCCCATGAACTACCCTCTCTACCTTACGGCAACTTGTAGAGCGAGGGCTCTGGAAACGTCACTGGTGTGAAATTTGAAAATCGTACTCATCCTCAGTCTTGTACTCGTAGACCAATCAAAAGGGTTGTTTTATTGGTTACTGATGACAATTGGAATCTCCTACAGCACAGAGAAGCTTATCATGCACATCAAACTTTCCTCGCCATTTCTGAACAATGCCTTAAACACCAGCTGAAAATTATGGCTTTTCACCAAAAAGCCCGTTTTTTTTTTTCATGTGTAAATCCGCGCTCTTTGCACGTCATTTTGGCCGAAGATGGAAAAGAATGATATGGAAACATAACCACAGAAAGTTTCTTGTATCTTGTCGTCCATATGTTAGGCGCCTCGATTAACCTTTATCCTTTACGTTTAGAAACAGTCAAGGAGAAGTCTTTTAATTAATCAGCGGTTTAGCGCCGCTATTAGCTACCTAGTCTGTGTTCACCTTGATGTCGCTACGTTTTTCCAGTCCTCGCAAAAATGCAAGATGAGCCTCCACTTCAGGAGTCACACGGATAACCTTATCACTGGGAATTAAAATGATCAATAAAAATTGTATAAAATAACTAAGAAATTTTAACGAAAGAGTATTCTCGAAGATCATTAGTAATTTTAGAATTTGAAACGTTTTGATGACTGCAATGGTTCGATCAGGTACGCCTGCATTTCAATAATCTCCCCTCTTGACTGTGTCAAGACCGTTTTGTGTAAATTGTTTACGATTTACGAATTTCACAATCGCAAAATGCTATAGGAAATTTAAATTTCATATAGTTTGGATTTCTTCTTCCACGACCAAATTGACTCGAAAGAACTCGGCGTTGGGTCAGTGCAATCAGTTTTGATGGTGTACTTTCCATTTTCAGTTAATATAATTTCTTTAATAATTCATTTTTCAACAGTTTCAAACAGCTCCGTTTGAGGATAAGAGCAGTACAAGAATCACTGAATACTCTCCAAAAAAATCCCTACCTGGATTTTAGGCCAAAGCGTGGTTCAATTTCATTAATACTCATTTTAAAAAGCATTAACATACGCACAAAAAAGTATTTTAAAACGATAATTTTAAAACCTATTCTGCTAAAAATGGCCCGAAAATTCGTCAAAATGATATTTGGTTTTACTCACCTTTGCACAAGCAGAGCTTGCAGCAGAGTTAAGATGAGTAAAGGCAAGCCCCAGTTCATGATCACGACGTGAGTCGACGGGACAATTGAGCGACAAATTTTCTCTCTTTCAGTTTTCAAAGAAAGTTGATAAAAGTTAAGCGTTTAAGAATGACACGCATCTGTCTCAAGATAAATGACCCTAAAGTGTAAGAAAATATTATCATTGCGGTAT